TGCTGAACCTGTGTGGGAAATTAGGCTTGTAATTGGGCTTGCTCCATAGCCTAGTGGTTAAGGGAGCTAGATCCCACATGGACAACCATAGCCCTGGGGGCATGAAAAACACACTGTAGGGCGTGGGGGACAGCAGATGCTGTGATAGTTAGGGCACTGGATTCCCACATGCAGACTGTGGCTTGAGTCCCAGGCCTGGTGACTTGAGAATTACACCAGGCGCATGTGCATGCACACCCCAAATCCCAAGAGAAGAATGGAGAAGGGATGGTGGTGTGGCCATCCCCTCACCCCTTCCAGGGGTGATTTTTTTTTACTTTCCCTTATTCTATCTTTCCCTGTCTCTCTCCAATAAGTATACATGGCTTATGGCAAAAACCTGGGGGAAAAAAAAATAACTGGGGCATGTATGTGCATGCCCCAAATCCTGACAGAATGTAAAGATAGAGAAGCAATTGTGGCATGACCATGCCCCACTGGGGAGAAGCTTTCCCCTTTTCTCTCTCTCTCTCTGTCTTTCTCTGGTAAGTGAGTGCATCCTATGGCAACTAGAAAAAAATGCTTGTATCAGTCTTTCTATAAGTGCAGAAACATACTCAGTACCACATCAAAAAATGATACAAGTAAGTGGTTGACCCTTAAATTATTTGACTCTTACAAAGGAATGAACATGGTATTTTAGGAAACAGGAAGATCATCAGTGTAGCTGGAGTGCTTCAACAAGTTACATAACCTCTCTGTGCTCTAGTTTTGTAAAATGTGGATGATAATAATGACTCACCAGGTTGTTGTGAGGATTAAGTAAGATAATACACACCAGAGCTCTGCTGGAAGCTTCGTCTGCAGGAGGTGTTCGCAAACATTAAGCGTTGTTAGTAGGAGTTGAGCTGCCACACAAACCTCCGTCTCCTTTTATGCTTAGCTATCCTACCATCCACTCAGTCACCCAACCCAGAAACCTGGGGGTCATCCTAAACACCCTCAGCCTCATGGTCTCTCAGTCTCCAAATCCTGTGAGTTTTGTATTTGTAGCATCTTTTTGTCTGTTTCTTCCTATCTGTCTTAGACCAACCTCATTCCAAAGTCGGGGATTGTACTTGTTCATTAAGCATTGGCTCAGCATATATTTAATGATGTCCTAGCATGTGCTAGGCACTGAGCTGTGCTATTCTAGATCTCACTACTAAGCCCATGGCTGAGCACAAACCTAGAGGGACTTCCTTCCCGACACCAAAATGTGTGTGCTAGCCTTCTGGCCTGTGTCCTGAGGGCTCCAGGAAGGAGTCACATTGTGCTTGTCTGTGCACCCTAGGGCCTTGGCAGCTGCTGGCCTCACCCATGAACTCCAACAGTGCAGGATGCACCATGAGTGCAAAATAGTTGGTACGGAGATGTGTTCCATAAATCCTTGTCACGTCCGGCAGCCTAGAGCCTATTCAGAATTCAGGGTAGAGGCAGCAACTAAGTGATTCTGTTCTGGCTGTCATGACCCATCAAGTGACGAATGTCTGCAGTTATAGAGAAGGTGACATTCCCTCCTCCCCTGCACATGAGGGGGTGATTTAAGAACATAAGTAATATTTATGTCATCATCTCTTTGCCACCGAAATGACTGCTTTGGTGGCCCAGAATCATAGTGCTGAGACAAAGGAGATCACACAAGTTTAGAGCTGCAGGACAGGCCTGAGAACGAACTTAACAACATCCTTTCATATACTGACGAATGAGTAGTAGCAGCCGTGACTTGTGAGGTGCTTTACTAAGGATTTTATGCATTAACTCTTAATTCACCCAATGAGATAAGTCGCTATGATGATCTACATCTCCCAGATGAAGAAGAGGCAAGCAGAGGGTGCAGTGGGCTGAAAGGTGGCCCACTTCATTTTTGTATGAACCTCCAAAACAGATACACCTAATTCCTAACCCCCAGTATCTGTGAATGGGCCAAAGCTTGAAACAGGGTCTTTGAAGATGTCATTAAGTGAAAGATTTCAAGTAAAATGATGCTGGACTCTAAACCTACTGACTGATATCTTTATAAGAGAAAGAGGAGGGAGATCTGAGACTCAGAGAAGGCCATACAAAGACACAGGCAGAACATGGAGGGCTTCACCCATAAGCTGAGGAGCACCTGCAGCCACCAGAAGCTGGGATAGGCAGGAAGGACAAAGGCACAAGGCCCCATAGACACCTTGATTTTTTTTCCAGAGATTTTTGCCTTCAGGTGCATGTGGAAAAAGAGAGAAAGAGAGAGAGACAGACAGTGAGAAGGAAAGTGAGAATTCACTCCCAGGGGGATGGCCACACCACAATCCCTTCTCCATTCTCCTCCCAGGATTTGGGCGTACACACACATGCCCAGTGTGAGTTTCAAGCCACCAGGTTCAGGTCAATTTTCTCACCCCAATGTCCTTTCCCCTATATTATGTGATGGCCAGGAGTGACTGGGTTACCTGGTGACTTGTGCTCTGATGCACCCTCCTGCCCTCCTTCCTTCTCTCCCAGGGCTGGACACTCATCCAAGCACACAGTAGGTACTTAATAAATTCATGTCCATTGGTTCTTTCACCCTTGGTGCAGTGTAGCTCATTGAGCTCATCATGTACCTCAGAAGTAGAAATAGCTCAAAGTATCTTGGGATGCCAGCATGGCAGAGATGGATGGTCCCTGGAAACCAGTGTATTGTTGTCCCTTCCTTGTTAAAAGTGGCCATGGGGCTTGAGGAGGAAGACAAACTTTACTATGGGGGTCAAATCTAGAACTGTGGTGCTGACTCTTGAAACAATGATAGCCTACTGTCAGTTCTAGGTGACCCCACCCCCTTAGTAGCTCTGGTCCCTGCCCCTTCCTTTGCTCTGAATCCCCATCCTTTTCTCCTAGTCTCCTGCAATAGCTTCCAAACCAGTCCTCTGGCCCCTAGAGTCTCCTTCTCTCCCCTGTCCTTCTCGTGGTTCTTCTTTCACTTGTCCTTCTTGCAGCTGACAGGGAAACCAAAACAATACAGCAGTAGGCTGAAAGATCTTATCATGATGGGTGTTTCACAAACTGTGTTCCTTGGAATGCCACCAGCTCACTGCTAGGCTAAAGG